CTCATTTTATCTATAGAGACAATCTCACAGTGAGGCAGGCAGGCTTTATTTGACTGGCTGTCAGGTTTAACACTTCTCTCTCGATATTGATCTGAAGTACCTAAAGGTATGTGACATCATTATGAGGCCTGACCTTATCATCTGCTGCCCTGCAGCCTGCAGGCCAGGCTGGACCAGGATCTAATGTGCCTCACCCCCAAAGCTCCAACCTGGTGCGTAATAGGGAAATTGGTGCTGGTGTTATTGTTTCTGGGACCCTTGTGCCTGAGGTTGACTTCACCACTATACCCAGTTAGCTGGTTTTGCTGCTGACCGTTGATGGAGCCTAAATTAAGTTGTTGATTACCATCTGTTTAGATGTGGACGGAAAAGAAAGTTAGAGTTATGTGGGAAGGCCATAAATCAAAAATTTGTCACATGCTGTAGATAGCTTTTAAAATAACCTCAGTTTGGAGAAACAGAGTAGTTCCAATTGACTTGGTAAGCTAGCAGTTAGTCATGAAGGTGCCGGGAGAATATTGTTGCGTCATACGAAACTCTAATTTCAAATAATGTTTTAAAGGTGAAGTTCACTGAGAAACCATTTTTAATTTATTTCATTTAAAACAAGATTGGCCACTCGGAGGCTGTGTTGATTTGTGATTTGACGTTCAGGAGAAAGCAGCGTGCGTCTCAGCTAGTGAAAGCAAACCATTAGCATTAGCAACCCCACCACACCAAATTGGCCAAATTGTTCCCGAGCACGGCCACAGCTGCAGCTCACTGCTCCCCACAGGAATGGGTCAAATGTGGAGCTGTAATTTCATCAGTGTGTGATGATGGCTGATGAAACTTTAACTTTAATAGTCATGGAACCCACAGGGGGGAGGTGGGTCACTCGTTTGTTTTGAAAATAGGCTGCAGTACCCACATTTGACCACAAAATGTAATTCCTATTTAAGCTATACCTTATGCACCTTTGAACTGTATATATGTTGCTATTAGTGATGCACCGATCTGAAATTTTTGGGCCGATACCGATATCCGATACAAAGATCATTGTTATGGCCGATAAACTAAATTTTCTGATACCAATATATTGACATTAAAGCTTCTAAAATCAGCAGATTTTGCATAGAATGCAAATGATTAAAGCTGAATTTACGTTATCATGTACAAACACCACACACATTTAGGGTTCTGAGATTATTTAATACACTGTTCACATGACTAAACAATCACACATCACCCCCTCACCCTCTGAAACAGATAAACAAATGGAGACCAGATGGAAAAACTATTGGTTGTTATTATCGGCCCAGTTTTATTTATCAAACCAATATGTTAAAAAATGACTGACATCGGCCGATACCGATATTGATGCCGATATATTGTCCATCCCTAGTTCCTATCATATCCCAGCAGTGCCGCAAGTGGTTAAAAATATGTCACGCAGCTTTAAAAAGAGCAAAAGATCAAAATTGTTTGCAATAAAATAAAAAATTAAAACAAGAGCACAACTATGGGAGGGCGAAGCTATCTCTAGGACTGCAATGGGCAGACTTTTATTTTCTTGCGTAGCACTGGGATGCTGCACATCCGTATTTCACTTTAACCTAAAATTCTATGTCTGCTCATACTAATTTAAACGACACAGGATAACTTACAGGGTATTTTTAACCAGCAGGTGATTAACAGGCTTCTGCAGAGCCTGATGAGCTGCTGCACAGGTGATTCAACCACTGAATCTAGTGTGTTGGAGCAGAGAAACCAGTAAAACGTGCTGGATACTGGCCCTCGAGGCCCGGAATATAATACCCCTGCTTTACCCTCCAAAATCCAAGTTTGTTCTGAATGTACAAAGCAGTAACCTTTTCGCTCCCGTTCTATAAACAAATAAGCCACGAAACTGGATCAAATCGAAAACAAACACCCTACATTACCTTCCACTTGTGTTCAAGCGGATCTTTTGAACCTGTTTTCTAATCTCAGCTGCTGAGCCACTCGCTGTGCAGTACAGTGTGTGACGTTCAGTAAAAATCCAAGGCTTCTACCTTTTGTTGTGTGCATTTAAACAGCACATTAAAGACACAACGCTCCTCCTGGAGCCTGTCACATTTCCCAGGTAAAGCAGATGAATAAGTAAAGCACTGCTGCTGGCTGAAACACCCTCCTTCTTTTGCTTGATTTGCTGTTGCCTTGAGTTAGATCCTGATCTCTTTGTAGACCCTCTCCCAACAAGCAATGACCTTCTGCTCCAACATGTAAAGAGCTCCGTGAGATCCAGAAAAAAAGGAAGGGAGTAGGGAAGCTGTGAATAAAGGCATCAGCACGGCAAGCAGCCGAGAGACTTCCTCCACTTCACTCCACACTCCTATTCCTCTCCGTCTGGCTAAACCTGTGTTGTGAGAAGGAGTCTAGGAGGTAGATGCCTTGTTGGCGGCACAAAGGAGCGGTTCTGTAATAAAAACAGCTGTCTCTGGTGGTCTTGGTGTAATTGGGATTGTTAACGTGGAGAGCTCCTGAGGGAAGGAGGCTGAGGAGTATCTCTTTGTGTAAAGCACACAGACACTTCTGCAGCGCTCCTTGATTCCATAGGAGGAGAAGAGTGAGGAGGGAAGGAAGAAAGCAAGCAAGTCACCTGAGTTATGTCAAGCCTTTTTGCACCAACTCTCGCTGTTTTGCTTTTATTTTTTTACTAGGTGCAGACTTATTTGGGGGATTTTTTTTCCCTTCAAAATCCTCTTTTCTGCAGTTCTATGAGGAGGCTATAAGCTTGAGAGGAGTTTCTTTTTGTTTTCTTGAATACACAAGTTGCGTGTTAAATAAAAAAAACATTTAAATCCATAAGGGGAATTTGAATTTTTCTAAACGATGAAACAGTTTAAAACCCTTTCTTCTCACTTTTTCAACAACATGGTGGCTTAAACATCTAAATTACATCTTTTAAAATGTATTTTTCACATTTTTATACCTTAAAAGTAATGTTGCCATTCTAATGAGAAGTTGGTTTTGATATTTAAGGTGGACTATTGTCAAAAATATGTTTATTTTTTTGTTCATTGTGTTGTAATTGTAAATTTGCAAAACGTTGTGACACAATCCTGTTGTGCAATGATGTCCGAGGTGGTCTGGACCAACAGACTCAAGATAGCCATGATATGCACGTCCATGCGACATTGATGGTTTGCAGGGATGTCCTCCTCCCTCAAAACTGGGAAAGCTGCTGGCAAAGGGGGAAACGCCTTCAGGTGGGAGAAGCATCAACTAAACTGTTGGAAACTGTTCTTCAAAGTCGATCGCTCATTGAGGCTAGTGCTGATTTATTTGACTTAAGATATAGTGTGTGTGTGTGCGTGCGTGCGTGCGTGCGTGTGTGTGTGTGTGTGTGTGTGTGTGTGTGTGTGTGTTTCATTGTGGATGAAAATTTCATACGCCGATTTAGAGGTGGTGAAATATAAATGATTCCTTTAAAGTTTCATCAGGAATCAGTCTGTCGGTATATGTGAGCCGACACTGATCGCTCCTTGATGTCTCCTGAGCCTGATCTCTGTCTGAAGGTGCATGCGTGGCTCCAGCAGCGTCTGTTTGTCCCGCTGGGGCGACGACACGCTTCTGCAGCTGCTGCGTGGCTGTGCGGCAGCACCAACAGGCTTCCTGTCACCGCCACGAGGAAATCAAATATAAACAGAGGGAAAGGTGGGAGAGAAAGCGCGGAGAATGTGGAAAACTCGCCTCATCTTTAGGAAATCGCGCTGCTTTACTGTTTGAGTTTACTGCAGCTTTGCACTATAGCCGGAGCTGCGATGTGCTTCCTACAATTAGGATAGCTGCAGTTCATCAGTCCGTGAAAATCTAAAAAAAATCGTAGTATCATGCTCCAATAGATTAAATTAAAAAAAAAAATCCGAAAAAAACTCACGGTGTGTGCAAACAGGGGGATTTTACCATGAAAACTGAGTTATTTCAAATATCTCTAAATGTTTTTATCCCCCTTGTCTCCTCGTGACAACAGCTGATCAGTTTAAAGCATCTAGACACTCCTTGTTAATTTTAGCGTGATTAAATATTATAATTGTGTTACAGATAATGTGGCTTAATTAGTGGAGAGGTTGGATAATAGCCTGTCATGTGAGGAATAGAAATCAGGAAATTAAACGCATTCAGTATTAACATTATTGTTGTTTTACTGTTTTTATCGTCATGCATCTATTAGGCAGAGAGTGGAAAATAAAAAACAGAATAGCTGTTTTATTTTTGTATTATTATTATTACCATTTAAAAATTTAAACACAAATATTTCATGCAATAAAAGTATTTATTTAAAACAATTGCATAATATAAAGTATCAGTTTTGAATAAAATCGCTTCCATTGTTTAAACGTTTGCAACTTTATTAATGCTTTATTTCACATTTTTATTCTTTAAATCATCAAATCAAATCGAATTCAGCGTCTTTTCTGTAAGCACATCTGGAGCTGTCCGTGGTGCTGAACTGCTTTTTCTGCTCATCACAGAGCCCGGGCGGAGTTTATTTGCAAAAATTTATAAAACAAAATAAAATTAAAATCTAAAACACAAAGACAGAACTCCCACAAAATTCCTGAGCCTTGTTAGAAGGTTTGGCAACGAGGTGTTGGTGATGAAGTGGAGTCATTTGAAATAAATGCATGGTTGTAGACTGCCCATGCGCAGAGTCCCCGGCGGCGGCGGCGCGCGGCGGTGCAGCTAATGAAGAATAATAAATCATGAAAGGGTTGTTCAGGTGCAGCTGTGTGAGGTGCGTGCGTGTGTGTGTGTGTGTGTGTGTGTGTGTGTGTGTGTGTGTGTGTGTGTGTCTGTGCGGGGGGTGGGCTAAGAGAGGCTAAGGGAGGGTGTGTGTGTGTGTGTGTGTGTGTGTGTGTGTGTGTGTGTGTGTGTGTGTGTGTGTGTGTGTGTGTGTGTGTGTGTGTGTGTGTGTGTGTGTGTGAGGGAAAGAGGGAAGGAGGGAGATAGAGAAAGAGGCGGAGAGAGTCTGCCCTTCGCCTCAGAGCGCAGGCAGTTTGGGTCCCCGCAGCATTCACCGGAGTCGGAGAGAGCCAGAACGGAGACTGTCACCGCCGTCCACTCCTCACACACAACCGAAACGGAAATCTTTTGCCTTTTTTTAAACAAAAGCCGCAAACAGATCAACGAAATCAGCTACTTTTGGAAATCCTGAGAGACGGAAAGCCATTTTATTTGTATTTTCTTTTTCTTTTTTGGCGACATCACTGAGGAGTCCTGCCAAAAACCTGTACACAGATCTGAGGTAAATGAGTAAATCTGTAGATAACAGTTATGGGGAAAAGCAGACAGTGCTTTTGAACATCGCGCCACAGGTCCGCAGAGGAAGAGGCATCAGCTGCATGGCTTGTCGGTAAAAAAAAAAAAAACCGAAGAGAGAGAGAGAGAGAGACCGTCATACCTGCACGTGCTTTAATAAATAGATGTGGTTTTGAGTTGGACCATCGTCTTCAGCTTGCACTTTACTCGACTTCCTGCGAAGCAAGCGGGCTCCCAACTCCCGACCGAGGAGGCGGAGCCTTAACTTATTAAAAGGAACTTTCAGAGGTTTGGACGCCAGCAAATATGATGATGATGTCTCTGAACAGCAAGCAGGCTTTCAGCATGGCCCACACCAGCCTGCCCGAGCCCAAGTACTCCTCACTGCATTCCTCCTCGTCCTCCACTCTGACTTCCAATGCGCCCTCGTCGTCCTGCTCGTCTTCCCGACACAGTAGCACCATCATCAGCAGCAGCGGCGGCGGCAGCAGCAGCTCGGAGGCGATGCGCAGAGCCTGTCTCCCAACCCCACCGGTACGTATTCTGCATAATCACACCTTAAAGGCACATTTTGACAGCCCACTTTTTTTTTTTTTTTTTGCTTGATGTTTTTTTCATGTCTACACAGCAAATCACCCAATACCTCCTTATTTTTTCTCTCTCCTCTTGCTCAACTTGTGTATTCAGTCGGCTTTGCCTTTATTAATTTTTATGACCTGGGATGTTGCATGATTCTTGTTTTGTGTGCCCCCTCCCCTCCCCTCATTTTTATTTTATTTTTTTGGATTTCTTTTTTTCCACATTCTGGAAATGTTTTAAACCGAGGAGTGGAGGGAGAATTCCCTGCTGACAGTTATATGTGCATTCTATTTGCAATTGCAGAGCAATATATTCGGAGGCTTGGATGAGAGTTTGCTGGCCCGGGCTGAAGCTCTCGCGGCGGTGGATATAGTCTCGCAGACCAAGAGCCACCACCACCCTCCACATCACAGCCCCTTCAAGCCAGACGCCACCTACCACAACATGAACACTCTCCCCTGCACGTCGTCTTCGTCCTCCTCCTCCTCGGTGCCTATTTCTCACCCGTCCGCTCTGGCTGGCCACCACCATCACCACCATCACCACCACCATCACCAGCCCCACCAGGCGCTGGAGGGGGACCTACTGGATCACATCACCCCGGGACTGGCACTGGGAGCCATGGCGGGGCCGGATGGCTCGGTCGTATCCACGCCTGCGCACCCTGCCCACATGGCGGGCATGAACCACATGCACCAGGCGGCCATCAACATGGTCCATGCCCACGGGCTTCCACCACACATGGGCATGAACGACGTGGACGCCGATCCCAGGGACTTGGAAGCCTTCGCGGAGAGGTTTAAGCAGAGACGGATCAAACTCGGGGTTACCCAGGCGGACGTAGGGTCAGCGTTGGCCAGTCTGAAGATTCCTGGGGTGGGCTCTCTCAGCCAGAGCACCATTTGCCGATTCGAGTCCCTCACGCTGTCCCACAACAACATGATCGCTTTGAAGCCCATCCTGCAAGCGTGGTTAGAAGAAGCTGAGAAATCACACAGGGAGAAACTGAATAAACCCGAGCTGTTCAACGGCGCAGAGAAAAAGCGGAAGCGCACGTCGATAGCGGCGCCGGAGAAGAGATCGCTGGAGGCCTACTTCGCCATCCAGCCTCGTCCCTCCTCGGAGAAAATCGCAGCGATCGCAGAAAAGCTGGACCTGAAAAAGAACGTGGTGCGTGTCTGGTTTTGCAACCAGCGACAGAAACAGAAACGAATGAAGTACTCCGCGTGCGTCTAGAAGCCGCCAACGAAAAAGACTTGGAACTGTTTATTTGTATCATATTTCCTATCTCTCACACGCCTCCCCTTTTTTCAATCATCAATGACTTTGTGCTTTGAACTTTGAGGAAAAAAAGAATCAAAAAGTCATAAAAAACGAACAATAACTGAAAAAATGTCGAAAACACCCAGTCACGTCTCTTTTACGCGCTGAGGAGGAAGACATGGAGGCATCGTTTTTGGCGGAGCAAGTAAGATCACACTTTCCACCTTATTAAGGCAGTAAGGACTCTTTAAACTTTGTTTTTTAATGTATTATTTATTATAGTTTGCGATGAAATATCATTTTTAATTTACAAACTCCTACTTAATTCAAAACACTTACATGTTATTTGTTTTTGGGAGGGGGGCAGCTTATAGGATGAGCTACAGTTTCCCTCCGAGTTCATGACAATGCAGTCTGACATTTATTCAGGTCCGTGGGGGGATTAGCAGGAAAGCACACAAGTTGAGAGCTAATATTAGATTACTGCCAAATAAACCTTCCTGTAAATGAATCATTTACTTGTCACACACTTCGTTTCGTGTCTAAATGTGGAATTGATTATTTCAGGGATCTGTTTTTAAGATTCCTGCGTTTTAACATAAAATCCAGGGGGTTGTTTTTTAAGGGCCTCATGAGGCGGAATGATCGAAATTGGGACTCGCTTGCTTGTAACTTTAATATTTATTTATTTTAAATATTCTTTACAATGAGGAAAAAATATGATTTTCCATGCAGCTTAAGTTACAATCCAACGTAGGCCAGTCTTATGAACTATTTATTGGGTGAGGTCATGTTTACTTCATTATATATTTATTGGGATCCCCCCCCCCCCACCCACCTACACACACACACACACACACACACACACACACACACACACACACACACACACACACACACACACACACACACACACCTTGTTCTGCTTGAGGAAATCTAATCCTGACAGCAAGTTATGAGTGTTGATCCGGTTTAAAAAGTGTGTGTGCGTGTGTGTGTGTGTGTGTGTGGGGGGGGGGGGGGGTCTCCAGTTTTGATGTCTGAGATGGTACAATCGAGATATTTATGAGATAGAATCTCTTTTTAAAAATTACTTTATGTATGCTTGTTTGCTGCTGTTTATTTGTATAAATATACACGCATCATGACGAGATTGTTGCTTGTTGAACCACCTTGTTTAATTCAACTGTTTCTGTTTTTTTTTTCTTGATGACAAAAAGAACCATGGAAGTGTAAAATGTAAATATTTCATTGGAATCAGTCGATGCACATAAATATATCGCTGTATTGCTGTTTAGCTGAGGTATAAACTTATTTCTGTATTGTTTGTTGCTTTATTTTCTTAACAATTTCATTTCCATCCATGTAAATTTAAATTATTTCCTTATTGAACTGATATGTGTTTCATTAAAGAACGAACTTTAACATTTAAGTGGACGTTTTGTTGTGAGTGTGGCTCATCCAGACGTATTAATATAGATATTTTCTTTTTACTCATTCATCTGTTTATTTATTGATGAGGAGGAGGGGAAGGCTTAAGCTGCGGGAAGCTGAGCTTTTAAAAGCAGCTTGTGGATTCTTTGAGTACAAATATTTCATTTTCTTGACATAATCGCTCACAAAGAGGCGCTCAGCTTGGTGTTATATAGAAAATTAGCCTGGTTTGAGTGTAGACGAGCACTCTGGTAACCCCCCACCTCCTCTCGCTATTATGCCTCAGACTGAATACCAGCCATGTAAATGTGATTTGTAATTAGAATTTCTTTTCTTTCTTTTTTCATTCTCGCCTTGAACTGCTGATTTCACCGTGCTCCTCCAGGCCTCATCATGCAGCAGGGCCTTATTTCTCTCCTCCATCAGCGTTAAAGACACACATGGCTTCTCCAGTGACACGCTGCCTGCCTGCTAGCCAGCTTATAGCAGCTCACAGTCGCCTTACCTGAGAGCAAATGCTAATATTCTATTAGAGTCTAATCAGGGGGTCTGTGGAGAGCTAGATGGGTCCCTGGAGCACAGACTTGCCAGATGTCAGCCCGCCAGAAAAACAGCCTCGCCTGCCAAACGTGGCCGACTCTTTTTGAATACACACTCAAACATTCGATCTGCACAGTGAATGCTTTTGAAGAAAAATGAATAAATAGATAAAGAAGTTGTATTTAGAGGAGGGTTATTTTGAGCGTCACGTCTAAATCAGAGCTTCAGGGCTGGATGAGTTAGCGCTGAGCAAGCGTTTCAGCACCATGGACAGTTCAGTTCCAGACCTCACCGGGACATTTTTTCTGAAAATAACATTTTACAGGTTGCTACTTAACTTTCAAAAAATCACCTGTAGGTTGTTACTCTTCAATCAAACCTTTTTTCTTCCACACCTCACTGACATGGCTCCCCACCTCAGGGCTCCCCAATCAACCGAACAACATCTTCATAACAGCCGCGCCAAGAGCCAGAAACACGCTCCAATGCAATCCGACCGGCCTCAAATGACGAATTAAAGAGTATCAAAACGACCCTGATTAATGAGACTGCGATGATGGTTCATCAATTAAAAGATGCTCCTGGTGAGTGCCTCTAATTTCCCCCTCAACGAGCCGTTCACTTAATAAGAGCGAATTATTAAATTACACATCGAATTATGAAAAGCAGATAATTATGAAGAGCGAGTTTAAGTAGTCATTAGCTATCCTTGTTAATTACCGCTGGTCAGGGAGGGCGGGGGAGGGGGAGAAGGGAAGGGGAGGGAAGGGTCTCATCGGGAATTGAAATTAACTTTATTCAGAGAGCCTCGCTGCTGGTTGACATGCCGGAGCTCCTCTGGACTTCCAACTACACACACACGCGCGCGCGCACACATTCTCGGGGAAGTTAGGGTTGGTTTCTGGCTCTGATAGCGCATTTATCGCATCACGCTCAACGCAAAAACGAAGATCCAGATTTGAAAAAAAAAAACCACATACCGGTGTGATATTTTTTCTTCCAAAGGCCACAAACACACAGAAAAAGACGCCATGGGAGCTTTCTCCAAAACAAAAAGGCCAGCGCTGCCTCCTTTTGTTATAATTACGTCCCCTTGTTTTATTTTCCTCCATCTCTGACGACCCCCCCCCCCCACACACACACACACACACACACACACAGAACATTTTCAGCCCTTTCACAGGGATACTGATGAAATTTTAATGAAGCCAGGGACTGTCGGAGCTCCGCCCAGGGACCTGAGAGGAGAATATTTTAACTGTACATTTACGCCAAGTGTCTGCCTTCAAAAGACGCGCCTGCTCTTGAATCAGACGGAACTGCGAGAGCCATAAACTGCGCGCGCCGCGCTCTGTACGCCCGCGACAACCATATTTATCATCTGCTGGCTCTGCTGCGCCACCAGAACAACGTCTTCTCCACTTGATAATGTCGCCAATCAGTTGTTGTTGATGCAATATTAATCAGTCATCAATAGTCATTAGTTTATTAAGTGTTTTCCAGAATCTAATCGATGGTGCCGCCGTGGATGGTGAGCAGGAGGTCTGTGGGATACTTTTGGATGTGGAGTGGAACGCAGGAGCGCGAGGGGAGGGATTTGCTCCATGTCTCGTGGCTGCGCTGCCAGAGGAGGCCGCTTTTATTTATAGTAACAATTAGTTTTACTTTTAGCCAATTAAACAAAAATGCTTTAAAATAAAGTATACGCATTTATGTGATCTGAATCTGACAATGTAAAGATATTTCTTGTACTTTTCTCTTTTTTTACTTTGAAAAACCCGGAATAAAGGCATCACTAAATGAGCTTCATTTTGGAAATTAATAAAAGCTCAGGACATGCGTAGTTCCTCAGTCATCAAATATTTATGACCAAGATCCTTTTAAACACACACCTTTAATTTTCAGCCCCCCCCCCCCCCCCCCCAAAAAAAACCCACAAAAAATACAAAACATGAAGTGATTAAACATTTTTTCATACTGTTATTGTATCACTGAAAAAATAAAGTAAATGTAAAATTCTGGTTTTAAAATGAATTTATTGGTAATGAGAACATTTCCAGCCTTCATAAGGGAAACAGCTCAGGGGCATGATTAGAGGCTGGTGCATCAACACCACAGTCACTGCTTGATATAAAGCTGACACCGAAATAATAATAATTTTAGAGTTCCAACTCTGCTATTTCACACATTCAAACATAAACTAGTCTCAATTTATCATGGAACACTACATCATGTTGTTCTCTAATCTGGGCGGTTGATGTCTTTTTTTGTGATTTTTGTCTTATTTATTTTTTGCTCTTTCTAGATAAATATTTAAATGCTTTTGCTGGAGGGGAAATTCATCCCTACATCTAGATTAGACTGTTGCAATACAGTTGTCTCTGCAATGGAGAACATGTTCTGGGGCAGATTTCTGCATGTGGTCAGTTTTTTTGAAAACATGGGTGCATTCATGATTCATCCTTATTGGCCAAAATAAATGGTTTGCCCAGCAAACATGCTGGACATGTTAAGACACTATACTGAAATATGACATCTTGCCTTGAGCATCTTTTATAACCATTGGTCATATTATTGTTTCTAAACAATGATGCTGTTTGCACACAAAGATGAGGTGATGCAGTGATCAGATATCCAAAACGTCTGGTGCAGAATAATGGGACCATTAAATAGTTTTGTATGACATTTGAAGATGGGGCTGTGCAGTGGTTAGAGCTGTTGCCTTGCAGCTAGACGGTCCTGGGTTCGATTCCCGGCCTGGGATCTTTCTGCATGGAGTTTGCATGTTCTCCCTGTGCATGCGTGGGTTCTCTCCGGGTGCTCCAGCTTCCTCCCACAGTCCAAAAACATGACTGTTTTGTTAATTGGTCTATCTAAAATTGTCCTTAAGTGTGTGTGTGTGTGTGTGTGTGTGTGTGTGTGTGTGTGTGTGTGAGTGTGTGAGTGTGAGTGTGCGTGATTCTTTGTCCTGTGTGTCTCTGTGTTGCCCTGCGATGGACTGGCTCTCTGTCCAGGGTGTACCCCACCTGATTGCCCGTTGACCGCTGGAGACAGGCACCAGACCCCCCCGCGACCCTACGTGGACGAAGCGGGTTCAGACAATGGATGGATGGACATTTGGAGATGAGATGAGATGAGATGGGCACATGGGGATGTTTATGAAGTTAAAGTCAAATCCTATAAGCATATAAAAGGACCAAACTAATTAAATTCAAACAATAGATCTAATATATTGAATTGAATCAAAAATAATTAAAAATGATCAATTATCAAACAGCAATATTGTCAGTGCAATAGTAAGTAGATTACCATTTGCAAGACAAAAATTGTTCAGCATGCAAACATTTCTTCAACCAATTTTGGTGAAAAAAAATGTCATCACTATTGAAACTGAAAATATAAATAATGGAAATAACATAAAACGTATTCTGACTGTATGTAGCATGTGTGGACGTTCCTTAATGACCTTTAACCTCCAACTGCAAGTGTTAGTTGGTGCACAAGCTACATGATTCCCCTTCAAATGTGTTTATTACATTTAACAAAACTGACCAAACAGTGGGAGTTTTGTTGTTCATGAACTCCCAGTCTTGTATGATTACAGTGAAGTGTGAACCTCTTCCTCTCTCTGACCCTCGTATAGCGTTCCACATGAGTAATTCTTGAACAGCGTCGAGAACGGACCCTAATGAGAAGGTGGTAGAGCTGTCTGGTGAATGTGTGCTCACTGGGCTCTGACAGCCGTGGTCTGTTGCAAATCTATTAATCATACCCACAAGGAGGGCTGCTCTCTCTCTCTCTCTCTCTCTCTCTCTCTCTCTCTCTCTCTCTCTCTCTCTCTCTCTCTTTAGCTCTCCCTCACTCATTCACTTACACACTCACCCGCTCACTCCGTCTCAGTTTTTCAGTTTATACAGAACAGAATCATTTACATAAAGTCCTTAAGGCAAATAACTGTTGGGGGCTCTAATTTATATCTGATCGAAAATTAGCCGTCATTATGCGCACCATTAGCTGCGTCTTTAATGTGCTTCTAAGCACCATTTGTCAAGCAGCTTGTTAATATCCTTCAAGTCTTTAAAGTTGAGAGCTCATTAAAGACTGCTGTGCCTGCTCTTGATGCTATTTTATAAGATTCAGAGGGAAGGGTTTGGTCGATTAAGATTTTTTTATTGACATTTTCTGAAAAAGACTGAAGATGTACATCCTGTTTGCCTCACACATAACAAAAATAAAAATATTTCCCATTTTTATGGATCATAAACACATATTGTCAGCACTTGCTGAAAGCATCTTGATCAGAAACATTTAGATCATTTTCCCTGTAGCCGAGTCTGAGTTTACTGTGAGGCCATAAAATGAATTAGAATTTCCGTCTGCAGAAATGCAAATGAACCCTTTGCGTATAGGAGGACTGTCTATAGTTTTCTTGCCCACAGCCCATAAAATCAGACCCTC